ACCTTCCTCCTAGGCTGTGAGGTGGGACTCTTTGCTACAGAGGGGTGTTGGGGCGACCAACTTCTTTTCTGGACACTCCCTTTCAGCCCCTTATCCCTGCTGCCTTCCACTCTTCCCCTTCTCTGATCCTTTCGTGGTCTCCCAGGCCTGACGCCAGCTTCACCTCTCAATGTCAGTCAGAATCCATTTCCCACCAACAGGATGTATGGGCTCCTCCCCGGTGCCGGTTCTGGGTAGATGAGGGGTACAGAGAGCAGGATGCACCCTGCCCTCCGGAGCTCACAGCCCAGTGAGCAGACACAGCAGAGCCAGGCCTGCGTGAGCAGAAGCAGCTTTCTGCACCTGTGTGTGCAGAGTGCTGTGGACCTGGGAGAAAAGAGGGAGGGAAAGGTAGTGGTCAGAGTCCCTGGTGTCCTCTCCGGGGTTTCCAACTAGAAGGCCTAGTGTGATGAGAAATTGTTGACAGGTCAGTTTCAGGAGAAAGAGAGAAGAGATTAAGACACACACACATACATCCTGGTTATTTAAAAGCTATTTAATTTGAAGGACTATTTATTCTGAGACGATGACCTTCCTGTTCTTTGGGGTTTTAGTGTCCTTTCCGGGAGATACTTTGTTGTTTCTTTGTTTTTTTACTGTGATAAAAAGCATGTAACATGAGCCCTTTCCTCTTAACACATTTTTAAGTGTGTGGTACAGTATTGCTAACTACATGCACGACGCTGTACAGCAGATCTCTAATACTTACTCATCTCATGTAACTGAAACTCTTACCCATTGACCAACAGCTCTCATTCCTCTTGTCCCCCGTCCCTGAGAATCTCCTGTAAGTGGGATGGTGCAGTATGTGTCCTTCTGTGACTGGCTAAATTCACTCAGCGTTATGTCCTCGAGATTCATCTGTGTTGTAGCATGTGTTAGGATTTCCTTCTTTTTTGATGGCCGAATTATGTTCCCTTATATGGGTGGACCCCATTTTCATTATCTGTTCATGCGTTGATGGACATGTAGGCTGTTTCCGTCTCTTGGCTGTTGTGAATAATGCTGCAATGAACACGGGAGGGAAGATACCTCTTTGAGATCCTGATTACAGTTCTTTTGAATATATACCAAAAGTGGAATAGCCGGATCATATGGTAGTTCTAGTTTTAATTTTTTTCTTTTCTTTCTTTCTTTCTTTTTTTTTCCCAGAGAGGGAGATGGCTTGGTGGGGAGTGCAGAAGAAGAGAGAGAGAATCAGTATAGAGCCTGATGTGGGACTCAATCTCACAACCCTGAGATCATGACCTGAGCTGGAATCAAGAGTCAGATATTTAATGCACTGAGCCACTCAGGCGCCCCTATTTTTAATTTTTTTTGAAGATCCCCCATACTGTATTCGCTAGCAGCTGCACCACCAACAGTGCACAAGGGTTTTTTTTTCTTCACGTCCTCCAGTGTTTGTCTCTTGTCTTCTTGATTATAGCCATCTAACACGTGTGAGGTGATACCTCACTGTGGTTTGATAGTCATTTTCCTGATGATTACAGACTTTGAACATCTTTTCATGTGCCATTTTTTTTTCATGTGCCATTTTTATGTCTTCTTTGGAGAAATGTCTATCCAGATCCTTTGCCTATTTATTATTATTTTTTAAGATTATTTACTTATTTATTTGACAGAGAGAGAGAGAGTGATTACAAGTAGGCAGAGAGGCAGAGAGAGAGAGGGGGAAGCAGGCTCCCTGCTGAGCAGAGAGCCCGAAGCGGGGTTCAATCCCAGGACCCTAAGATCATGACCTGAGCTGAAGGCAGAAGCTCAACCCACTGAGCCACCCAGGAGCCCCATTCTTTGCCCATTTTTTTTTTTAAGTTTTGTTAATTTTCAAAGAATCCTGCTTTAGTTTTTTTTTGTTTTTTTTTAATAAAGATTTTATTATTTATTTGTCAGAGAGAGAGGGAGAGAGAGCGAGCACAGGCAGACAGAATGGCAGGCAGAGGCAGAGGGAGAAGTAGGCTCCCTGCCGAGCAAGAAGCCTGATGTGGGACTCGATCCCAGGACGCTGGGATCATGACCTGAGCCGAAGTCAGCTGCTTAACCAACTGAGCCACCCAGGCGTCCCTCTTTGCCCATTTTTTTTTTTTTAAAGATTTTATTTGTTTATTTGACAGAGAGAGATCACAAATAGACAGAGAGGCAGGCAGAGAGAGAGAGAGAGAGAGGGAAGCAGGCTCCCTGCTGAGCAGAGAGCCCGACGCGGGACTCGATCCCAGGACCCTGAGATCATGACCCAAGCCGAAGGCAGCGGCTTAACCCACTGAGCCACCCAGGCGCCCCCTCTTTGCCCATTTTTAAAAAAAGATTTTATTTACTTATTTGGGAGAGAGAGCATGCATGCACAAGTAGAGGGAGGAGCAGAGGGAGAGGGACAAACGAGTCTGTGCTGAGCCTGAAACATGATGTGGGACTTGATTTCATGACCCTGAGATCATGACCTGAACTGAAGTCAAGAGTCAGACCCTTAACTGACCGAGTCGCTCAGGCACCCCTTTGCCCATTTTTTTAATAAAAGATTTTATTTATTTATTTGATAGAGAGCAAGAGAGCACAAGCAGGGGGAGTGGCAGAGGGAGAGAGAGAAACAGGCTCTTCACTGAGCAGGGAGCCTGAAGCAGGGCTCCATCGAGGACCCTGGGATCATGACCTGCGCCAAAGGCAGACACTTAACCAACTGAGCCACCTAGGAGCCCCTGCATTTGCCCATTTTTTAATCAGGTTTTTTGTTTGTTTGTTTTGCTATTGAGTTGTTAGGAGTTCCTTTTGTATTTTAGATATTGATGGTTTGCAAATATTTTCTCTCATTCTGTAAGTCATCTTTAATTTTGTTGATTCTTTCTTTTTTAAAACAATTTTTTTATTTTTTTATTTATTAAAGATTTTATTTATTTATTTGACAGAGAGAGATCACAAGTAGGCAGAGAGAGAGAGAGAGAGAGAGAGGAGGAAGCAGGCTCCCTGCTGAGCAGAGAGCCGGATGCGGGGCTTGATCCCAGGACCCTGAGATCATGACCTGAGCATAAGGCAGAGGCTTAACCCACTGAGCCACCCAGGTGCCCCTTAAAAAAATTTTTTTAAAGTAAGCTTTATATCCAGCATGGGGTTTGAACTCATGACCCTGAGATCAAGAGTCATATACTCTACCAACTAAACCAGCCAGGTGCCCCCAGTTGACTGTTTCTTTTGTCTGGCAGAAACTTTTTATTCTTTTTTTTTTTTTTTTAAGATTTTATTTATTTATTTGACAGAGATCACAAGTAGACAGAGAGGCAGGCAGAGAGAGAGAGAGAGAGGGAAGCAGGCTCCCTGCTGAGCAGAGAGCCCGTTGCGGGACTCGATCCCAGGACCCTGAGATCATGACCTGAGCCGAAGGTGGCAGAAACTTTTTAGTTCGATTCAGTCCCATTTGTCTATTTTTGCTTTTGTTGTCTGTACTTTTGGTGTCATATCCAGAAATCATTGCCAACACCAGTGTTATGAAGCTTTTCTCTTATGTGTTCTTCTAGGAGTTTATAGTTTCAGGGGCTACATTTAAGTCTTCAATCCATGTTGAATTGGATTTATCTTTATTTTTATTTTAGAGAGAAAGCAGGCAGAGGGAGGGGCAGAAGGAGAGGGGGAGAGAGGATCTTAAGCAGGCTCCATGCTCAGTGGGGAGCCTGATGCAGGGCTCAGCCGCAGAACCCTGAGATCATGACCTGAGCTGAAATCAAGGGTCGGACACTACGCAGACTGAACCACTCAGGTCCCCCATGTTGAGTTGATTTTTGTGTGTAGTAACATAAGGGCCCAGTTTCATTCTTTTGTATGTGAATATTTGGTTTTTCCAGCACCATTTGTTATTCGGTTTTAGGGCCTTCCTTGGCAGAATAACAAATGTTCAATCCTTTGCAGGTTCCCAGTGTTTCTTTAGAAATGTTACTGGTCTGTGAAATCTTGTGAACCAGACTTTCATAATTTGTTATAATGTCCAATTATAGTTTACAAGTTAGGATGTGTGATCCAGTGTGCTATAGCTCTTATGAGATGAATGGGTCAGTCTAGAATATTCCAGAAAACCTGGGCTGTAGGGCCCATGTCCTTGGAGGCCACATCCCAGTCTGACTGACAGTTGTTTCCTTTTCCTCACCTTGAAGTTGGTTTTACAGAGTAGGTGCTCAGTTAACATTTGTTCTCTTCTGTGCACAGCCAGGGGTGCTGAGATCAGAGAAGTAAAGCCCTCTGCTCACATCACAGAGCAAGGCGGGCAGGGCAGGGAGGGGCTCCCCCAGTTCTCAGGCCAGCACTGTTTTGACTCTGCTATAGTTGACCTGTGGCTCTGCCTATGCTGAATAACGTTTTCTTCCCCCGTGGGCCAGAGTGGTTGAGAAAGAGCTTTTTCCGAATGGGAAAGACTCAATTTTGTAGAGATGAGGCTTGTACCATCTCAGTGTCCCCCCACCCCCCCGCCCCCCAAGCTGTTAGCATGGCATCTGCCATGTGGAGAGGACATGGCAAGTGTCTGAAGGAAGGGATCACCGGCAATTTCAATTGTGGGTCAGCCTGAAGAACCAGAGAGTAGAACATTTAGATTCTGCTTCCTGCCCTGCCTTAGGTTAGATGTGATGTTGAACAGGTCCCCTCCTGTCCCTGTGCCTTAGTTGTCTCATCTGTTCACGACAAGAATAATAACAGGATGACATGTAATGAGTGCTTCCTACGTGTCGGGCACTGCTCGAAGCTCTGTTGTAGAGTGTAGACCCATTATCTCCTCCCGGTCACCCCTGGGGATGGAGATATTTACACAACCAGTGTGTGATGAGGAAACAGAAGCCCAGAGGGGTCAAGTATCTAAACCAAGGTCACACAGCTAATTAGAGGGCAGCAGGGATTCGAACCCAAGCTGGCCAGCCCCAGAGACTGCCTAATTACTGTATGATACTGAGCATCTAGGAGCTTTATCTTTTCTTGAGCAATTCTACGAGATGCAGAAAGCGGCAGCCATTGGGAGTCTGGGCGGCCGGCAGAAGGTTTCTGGTTGAGCTTCTTCAGGCTTATGTTAAGCAGCAACCATGCATATCTCTTCCTGGAAGGAAGCAACTGTCGAGACAAGGTTACTGGGAAGAATTTTGGCAGAGAGAAAAAAAAGCAGATGGCAAGGCCTGTCTCCCTGTCTCGCGGCCTCTCCGTGGCCTCTTCTGTGCTCCCTGAAGCTCCCTGTGGCTGCCCGCACCAAGGCACAGGCCACCTGTGGCCCTGACCTGCGCATCTTTCTGGCCACCAGTCTCATCCACTCTGGAGCCTTCTACGTGGCCAGAGTCAGCCTCTAAAGGCAGCAACGGATCACATGGCACCCCTGCCTCAAGCCCTCCCGTGGCTTCTCAGAGCTCTCAGAATTAAACCCAGTGTGACCCCTGTCCACCTCTCTGACTTCATCTCCCACTTCCCCTCTACCCAGCACCCTGTAGCCCAGCTGTGCTGTCCCTGCCAGTGGCCACTGGCCACATGGGGCTGCTGAGCTCTTGAAATGTGGCCAGTCCAAATTGAGATGTTGCTTGTCCATATAAAATATGCACTGGCAGGGCGCCTGGGTGGCTCAGTCAGTTGAGCACTTGACTTCAGCTCAGGTCATGATCTCAGGGTCCTGGGATCGAGCCCCACTGTCAAGCTCTATGTTAACATCCGGCCCCTCTATCTATCTAAGCCCCTCCCTCTCCCTGCCCCTCCTCCTGCTTGTGCTCTCTCTCTCAAATAAGTAAATAAAATCTTTTTAAAAAATGAAATAAAATACACACTGGCTCTCAAAGTAGTAGTCCAAATAATTTTATATGGATTATATGTAGAAATGATAATATTTTTTATAATTTGGGGTAACTAAAATACATTATTAAAATTAATTTCACTTTTTTAAAAAAGAGCTTATTTATTTATTTGACACAGAGCAAGAGGTGCAAGTAGGCAGAGGGGCAGGCGGAGAGAGGATGAAGCAGGCTCCCTGCTGAGCAGAGAGCCCCATGTGGGCTCGATCCCAGGACACTGAGACCATGCATGACCTGAGATGAAGACAGAGCCGTAACCCTCTGAGCCACCCAGGCACCCCTCACTTCTATCTTTTCACTTTTTTATTGTGACTACTTGAAAATTGTCAATTCCATGCGTGGCTTGCGTGTTATTCCTGCTGCGGCCCCCCGCCGGCCTCCAGCCCTTCCCAGCCTCAGGCAGGCAGGGCCCATGTATCCTGCTGCTCTCCGTGGCCCCCTACAACTGCAGTCTTCCTCATGTTTGCTGTCTTTCTTCCCCAGGTCCCCCAGGGCTCTTGGTCTGGTACCTGACTCTGGGCTGGCCAGGAAGAGCCTGCGGTGGGTCACATGCCTCGGGGGAGGGATGGATGGGAACTGGCCCCCCATGTTCCTCAGCCTGGAGCCGTGGGAGGGGGCGAGCTGGAGCATGTAGCTGGAGCAGGCGTTCAGCATCCTCAGTGGCTCTGAGCAGAGCACACATGGGCTGTAATAGAGGGGTTTTGGGCTTTGGGTCTTGTGTGGGGTTTTGGGAACCTGCTGTGTCAGTAGGACCAGGGGCATGGAGCCTCCCCAGGCTTCATCACAAGAACTCAGTTGGCACAGGGCACCTGGGTGGCTCAGATGGTTGAGCGGCTGCCTTTGGCTCAGGTCATGATCTCTGGGTTCTGGGATGGGGCCCCACATGGGGCTCCTGGCTCAGCGGGGAGCCTACTTCTCCCTCTCCCTCTGCCTCTCTCCCTGCTCATGCTCTCTCTCTTACTCTCTCAAATGAATTAAAAAAAAAAAAAATCTTAAAAAAAAAAAAAAAAGAACTCATTTGGTAGCCTGGGTCAGTGGCCATGTGCCAGGCCCTTGGGAAGTGCCAGAGCAGCCGACGTGGATTTGGGCTTTGCTGGGGCACCCCAGAGTCCCTCACAGCCTAGCTGCTAACCACACGATGACCTTCGGAGGTCATGCAGTTCCCCTCTAAGTGGGGACTGGCTCCCTGCCCAGAGCCTATGAGGACCAGAGGGAGGGCTCTCTGTCCAGCATCAGCGGGGTACAGCACAGGCCATGTAGGTATTCGGGTCATCCAAAGGTCCTTGTGACCAGCTGTCAGTCACCTTTGCAAGACCCTGGCCACAGTGGGGATGGAAACAATGCATGGCTTCAGCTCCTGAGCCAGGGCCCCCTGCTCCGGGAGGATCACCAAGCCATCACCTCACACTGTTTTCACCCTGAGGACCCTGACTTGAGCAGCATCTGGAAGAGGAAGAGATACCACCATTTCTGTGAAAAGGGCCTGTGGGTTTTAATTGACCGCAGGCTCAGAGTGAGCCAACGGGTGACCTGATTGCTAAAATAGCCCAGGAGAAGGGCGGAAGCTTCCAGAACAGGGAGGGGGAGGCTAGGATCTCAGCTGGAAGGAAGTGAGGGCACCATTCTTGGAACCTGCCCAAATCCACAGCCCCAGTGAGCAGGGAGGCCCCTCTCTGGAAACTCTGCTTTAGTCCAGCTCCTTTGGGTGAGAATGGGGCGAGGTGGGAGGGGGCACCAGAGGAGGTAGTTCCTAGAGCACAGTCGCCTGGGAGGGTGAATGCAGGCCAGCACCCTCGGGCTTCACCCCACAGGTTAGAAGAAACCCCAAGCCTGGAGGTCAGAAGCCCAGGGAGACTCGTTGGGTCTGGTGCTCCAGTCCCACGTGGGGAAGCCGAGAGCCCACCTAAGGCCACGGTGGGAGGGTGACACAGGTCAGCACTCCTCCAGCCTTCCTGCTGCACTCAGCAGCTCTGAAAGAAATGCAAAGAACAAAGAAGATGACTTCTCTCATGCAGCAGATAATGAATGTTCTGATTCTCAGCCCCTGAGAGCATCAAATCCCAGTGTCCCTGGCCAGGAAATTTACAGCCTGCCATTGACCCTTCTGAAGGACCCCGGGCAGGGCAGTGTCCCCTTGCTGGTTCCTCCACAGGCAAAGATGGCCAGTGAATCCCACGACCTCTGTGCCGGCTGTCCTCAGTTCCGGTGGCCTAGCCAGGGTCCCTCAGCTCTGGTCAGTGCTGGACTGGTCAGTGAGGACAGAGCCCAGAGGCTACCTAGCTCTGTGTGGAGGGTGGGCGGAGGTGGAGAGAATGAGCCTGGGCAAGGGCAACCCCTGCCCTGCCTTTCTCTTTTATGTCTAATGATAAAAGCAATTCATACTCACGTAAAATTTGGAAACTACAAAAAGGTGCAAAGGAGAAAATGAAAGTCATCTGTCATCTCACTGCCCAGAGATAACTGTCATTGCTATTTTGTTGTATTTCTCTCCAGTAATGTTCTTCTATGTGGGTCATACATATGCATATAAGTGTATATTTTAATTGTAATATTCTCTAAAGCCGGCTCCCCCCTCCCCCGACATTATATGGTGAATATTTTCTCACAGTGTTAACATTTCCTTTAAAGTTACTTAATGGCTTTATAATATTGTCTTAATAATTTATTTAGCTATTCTCCTATTTTTCTTTCATTCTCCTACCTAGTTTGACTTTTTTTTTTTTTTTTTTTTTTTTTCTTTCGGGGTTTTGTTTTTTTTTTTTTTTTTTTTTTTTTAACCAAGGGGATTTGGCAGTTTTTAAAATTCCACTTAGTGGCGACTGGGTGGCTCGGTTGGTTGAGTGTCTGACTCTTGGTTTCTGCTCAGGCCGTGATCTCAGGGTCCGCACTGGGCTCCACGCTAGGTGTGGAACCTGCTTAAGATTTTCTCTCTCCCTCTGCTCCCCCTTCCCCCCATCCCACCACCCCACACGTGCACACTCTCTCGTGCTTTCACTCTCTGTCTCAGAAAACACCCCAACCATTTAAAATTCCACTTAAAAATATAAATCCAGCTTTTTGGCTGCTGAGATGGAGCAGTTCTGAGGTACCCTCTCTGCCATTCACACTGAGAGGGGCCCGTCAGATTCACAGCTCAGGTGACAGCAAAAGTCTAGCATTTGGAAACACAAACGCAAAAACAAAACCAAGTTGGAGGTTGCTTAGGAAAGGAGCTTCCCTCTGTGGGCTGTAAACCTACCTCTCCTTATGCGTGTGAGCCTGGCGTGTGAGCTGGTGGAGAGGACCGACCATTCCTGGTTCCCATTTTGCCTGTGCATGAGCTGGGGTGATCTTGGGCCATCCTTCCACTGCCCCATTTCTCCCTTTCCCAGGCTGCGAAATGGACCTAATGTCGGAGGCGCTGGACCCAATCGCCAAAATGCTACCTCTGAGCTGGGACTGTCAGTAGGGAGCAGAGGGACAAAGGTGTGGTGAGGCCTGGGTCTCCTTGGGCAAGTGGCCTCCACTCGGTGAGAGTTGTTGTGCCCCCACCCCCGGGAGTTGGTGGCTACACCCTGAATGGGTGGTCCCTGTTGGCTTTCCAGTTGTCCAGACCCCTCCGAACAGCTCTGGCCTGCCCAGGGCCTTGATTTAGTTCGTAGGGAAGGCACTAGTTGGGTTTCCCTGCCCTTTTCTGGATCCCTGCTCAGCAGCCCAGAACCAGGCCTAACTAAGTAGACCCTGAAGAACCCCTGGAGAAATTTCCCATTGTGTTCAGGGCTGAAGGGGGAAGCAGGCAGGGTTCCTGGAGGTCTGGGGCTGGAAACCACTAGAACCTAGGCTCCAGGAGGGCAGGAGCCTTGTGCTTCTCATTACATGCTGCCCTCAGCTCCCAGCCCTGGGTCTGGCCCACAGTGTGCCCTTAGCAAATACTAGTACACCCCGGCAAGTGGTGGCCTATTCCTGCCTCAGCTTCCCTTTCTGTTCTGCTAGGCCAAGAGCTCTGTGAGAGCACAAATGGGCCTGGTTTGCCTGAGTTCTCAGTGCCTAGCAAGACACTGGCATGTGGAGAGGGTCCATGAATGCATGTTCATAATTGATTGATGAATAAGTTATGCCTGAAGACAGTCAGAGCTCAGGAGGCAGGCCCTCCCTTCTTTCCACCTCTTCTCCATAGTAGGTCCATACCCTCCCTCTGAAGGGTCCCAGATGATCCCTTCCTCTGTCCTTCCTTGGTTGAAGTTGGCCACCAGGAACCTCTGGCTGTGTGACTTTGGGCAAGTCACTCCACCTCTCTGAGCCCCAATGCCTCTTCGATAAAATGAGGCAGATGTGATGTATTGAAAGGGCTTTGTGAGGGTCGTGCCAGATTACATAGCCTAACTGATGCCCTGGCAGGTGGTGGGTACCCAAGAAGCAGCCACTTACATTGCCAGTGGCCCAGCCCTGTATCCGTGATGAGCTCCCCGACATGGCGACCACCTGACTATTGGAGGGGCCTTGGCTAATCTTGGACTGGG